GCATCGGCGAGCCAGAAAGTAGCGGCGACCTTCCATAACAAAGCACCAACACAAATTCTCAACGAAGCATATCAAATCTCAGTTCTTGAAATATATTGACAGCAATGAGAATTGACATAGAGAAATTTGATGGCACATAAGATTTTTGCATCTGGCGCCAAAAAATCTTAGCGCTCCTTGCCTAGCAGAGATTGCTGAGGGTCATTTTCCAACCTAGTGCTATGGCTTGAAGATACTTTTAAAGATCAAAGAGAAGAAATGTCTGAAACAGCTATGGGTATAATAATTTTTCACCTGTTTGATTCGATTATTTGTCTTATGGACAAAGAAGACACACCAACAAAGGTGTGAAAGAAGCTTGAGTAGATGTTTCAATCTCGCTCTCTCTTTAACAAGATCTACCTGAAGGAGAGACTCTTTAAGTTCAGGATGGATCAGACAAAGTCATTAAAGCCAACTTAGACAAGTTCTTGAAGATAACCATTGAGCTGACAAATTCCGGGGACAAGGAAGAGCTCAGCGACAAGAATAAAGCAATCATTATTCTCAATCCTCTTTCAGAGGCATACAGGAAGTTGAAATCGACAATCAAGTACGGGAGGTCATCAATCATCCTAGATGAAGTGATATCCGCGCTCAAATACAAAGACTTGGAAATCAAAGCAGACAATAAGCCCTCTGGTTATGGCAAAAATCACATGGCTTGTGGCAAACAGCAACGCAAGAACACAGATGGAAGCAACTTTGAGCCCAAAAACCATGGCAAAACATCTACAAAGATCAACAATCGGAGTACCAACTTCAAAAAGTGATTCTATTGTAACAAGATGGGTCATATCAAGAAAGATGGTCAGTCATGGATAAAAAAAACAAGGAGAATTAGGCTAGCACATCACAAGCTCACTAAGATTCAACAAACTTTGATGATGGCTACAACGATGACTAAGTTCTCATGGCATCAAGAAAGCTTAAGGCCTTGGAGTGGATACTTGACTCTGGTTGCACATATCATATGACACACAACAAGCATTGGTTGTTAGACTACCAAGAACTCAATGAAGGAAAGTTAATAATGGACAACAACCATTCTTGTTCAGTTGCTACGGTAGGTTTTGTTAGCATTAAGGTGGTTGATGGTGTTGTGAGAATTCTTGAAAATGTTAGATGGGAACCTGAATTGTCTAGAAACTTGATCTCTATTGGCCTTCTTGATGACTTGGGTTATACTAACAAGATAAAGCAAGTCTCTAAGTATATTTCAAAAGTTGCTACTGCTTTGAAGAATATCAAAATATGCAATCTCTATTATCTCATCGAAGGGACTCTCCATGGAGTTGCGTCAGTTGCCACTACTCAAAACCACAACAAAGCTACACTTTGGCATCAAAGGCTCGACCATATCAGTAAGAGGGTTCTACAATTGATGAGCAATCAGAATCTGCTAGGAAAAGACAAAGTCAACAAACTTGATTACTACGAGCATTGCATTTTGGCAAAGCAACATAGCAAAAAATCACCAACCAAAAAGCAGACTACTACATAAGTCCTTGAGTACATTCATTCAGATTTGTGGAAAATCTCAAGTACATTAACACATGGCAATAACCTCTATTTCTTATCTATCATTGATGACTTCTCTAGAAAAGTTTGGATATATTTGTTAAAACACAAAAATCAAGCTTTTAAGAAATTTAAAGAATGGAAAATTTTGGTTGAGCATCTGCGTGATAAAAAGGTTAAACTTTAAGAACGGATAATGTTTTTGAGTTTTGTAATGCTGAGTTTGATCAATTTTGTGCCAATGAGGATATTCAAAGGCATAAAACCCGTGTGACTAATACCTTAGCAAAACGAAGTTACTGAGAAAATGAATAGATTATTATTGAAGAAGACAAGAAGCATGCTATACAATTTTGGGTTGGCTAAGGCTTTTGGTGATGAGGCAATGATCATAGCGGCATATCTTGTGAAAAAATGCCTTTCAAGTGCCATTGAGTTCAAAACACCAGAAGAAAAATGGAGTTCAAGGCCACTTGATCTCAATCACTTGAGAGTGTTTGGATGCTCTACATATGTTCATCAAAGTCAAGGCAAATTGGAGCCAAGAGCCATTAAATGCGTGTTACTTGGTTATTCAGAAGGTACTAAGGGGTATCGGTTGTGGGTGAGAAAAGGTAATGGTTTCAAAATTATCAATAGTAGAGACGTGATATTGTATGAGACTATCTTTCCTTGTCAATCATAGACTGATCCAGGTTCTAGTGTTGTGAGTCTCCCTAACCTGCAAAAACCTTAGAATATATTATTTAGGTGGAGCGAGCTGTTTATGTCACTCCTCGACAAGCTCAAGGCCAAAGCACCTCGAGTGACCATGAAAATCAGGACATGCAAGCTCCAGATCAGGTCATTGAACTGACCGATCCTACTGATCAAGAGCAAGGCAACTGCGAAAAAGAGGTGACAAGCCACAGCAACTCAAAGCAATCTCAACAACAACATGACTACTTTCTCACTAGGAACAGAGAAAAGATAGTATTAAGACCTCTTTAGAGATATGGCTTCTTTGCATAGTTTTAAATCCTTGCCTACGCGTTCACATCAGCTTTGGAGATTCAGATGAAGTAGACTCTCTACTATCAAGATGTTGCTGGATCAGACTCAAAACTTTGAAAGGAAGCCATGAGAGTGGAAATAGAGTTGTTGTATAGGAACAAAACTTGGATCTAGTTCCAAGACCTAAGAATCAAAAGCTAGTGCCGTGTCGATGACTTTACAAGATTAAAAAATGCGTGATTAATTTTGACAAGCCTCGATTCAAGACCAAGTTAGTGGCAAAAGGCTTCACAAAGGTTGAGGGAGAAGATTATAATGAAAATTTTTGCCTTTGGTAAAATACAAGACCATAAGTATTATGCTTGCACTTGTGATTCATTATAATTTGAAATCACAACAAATGAATGTGAAAACATTGTTTTTCCATGGCGACCTGGAAGGAGTGATTTACATGGAGCTGCCACCAGGATATGAAGTGTAGTAAGGCAAAGACATGATGTGTCTACTGAAGAAATTGCTGTATGGTTTGAAGCAGTCATCACGTCAATGATATAAGCGTTTTGATACATTTATGCTTGAGCAAGGATACAACATGAGTTCACATGACTCGTGCTTCAAAGGTAATGAAGTACTGAAAAGCATCTATCTAGTCCTGTACATAGATGATAGGTTATTGATTAGCAGCTCAACTTCAAATATATTAGAATCCAAGAAGATTTTGAGCAAAGAGTTTAATATGAAAGATTTAAGTGATTTTACGAAATTGCTTGGAATGAGCATCATTAGAGACAGGAAAAATGATTCACTAGCATTGTCACAGCGTGACTTTTTGAAAAAACTAGTTGAAAAATTTGCCATGAGAAATGTAAAGCCAGTGACTCAACCTTTGGCAAATCATTTCAGCCTTTTTGCAAGTCAATGCCCTACATCAACATCAGCAAAGCAATCCATGAAAGATGTTCCATATTCAAGTGCAATTGGCTCAGTCATGTACACTATGATGTGTTCAAGACCAAATATTGCCCATGACATTAGTGTTCTTAGCAAGTACATGTCAAATCATGACAAGGATCTCCTAAGGTACTTGAAAGACACTACTGATGTGGGTTTGATGTATTACAAGAGAGTTAGTTCAGTTCTGGTGAAGGGTTATGTAGACTCTAACTACGCAGGGGATAAAGACTAAATCTTATCAATTCTTGATCAATGGGAATTGCGTGAGCTGAAAGTCACAATTATAATTTGTTGTGACTTTATTCACAATAGAGACAGAGTATATTGCTACCACTGAGGCAATGAAAGAAGGCAAATGGATTCAAGTCCTGCTTAAGGAGTTACATGTATTTCAAGGTACAGCAACACTCTTCTCCGATAGCCAAAGTGCAATCCATATGTGCAAAAATCTAGTGTTTAATGACAGAACAAAACACGCTGACATCAAGTATCATTTCATCAGAGAAATGATCACTGATGGCAATATCAACATTGCAAAAATCAGCACTGATGACAACCTGTATGTGGCACTAAAGTGGTAACTTTGAGAAAGTTTTGATTTTATCTCAAGCTTCTCGGAGTTGATGCTACATGACTGAGCAAAAATCAAACAATGAATCAGTGAAGGACTAGTATCGAGTTTGAGTATAGGTGACAAAGATCAAAACTGAAGACCAAGGTGGACATTGTGAGATATAAGCTTCAGTTGCATGTCATTTTTTCTTTTAGATTCTTTGTCGTTTTTTTTATTTAGTAATAGCTTGTTGATGAGTCAAAATCCTATAGGCTGTGTAAGAATTGACGGCTTTGGTATTCACTATTATTCTGATTATTTACCGTTATAATTCAGGATGATATAAAGTCAGTCAGTGGATTAAGGCAGATATTACAGTGAGAAGTATTTCAAGAATGGTCGAGAGTGAGAACGAAGAGACACATAGAGAGAGAGTGAATCATCTGTGAGGAAGTGTTAGTCTTGCTCGGGAAACATGAGTGATTTTTCTTTGTGTGTATTTTTCACTAGACTGAAACCTTGTAATGACAATAGGAAGGTCAAGTATGACAAAACTCATCTTGGATATATATATACTCGAACTGACTTCATTGAGTAGTTTGCGGGGACTAGGCTTTCAAGCTGAACCTCGTGAACAAATGCTTGTGTTTGTTTGGTGTGTGGATTGTGATTTTCTATAGGTTAAGGGGATTCACATCCCTTCAGTGGTGGAAATAATTGTATATAAGAGAGTGTTGAAAGTTATGTGTGATAAAGATTAGAGCTATAAATAAAAGACTCGGGACGCATACTCCGTAACATGAATCACATTATTTCAAATGTAGTTCTCAGTTGCTCGCTTTTCATCCTGTATTCTATTTTTGAGAAAAGGATTCATAAATTCACTTTACTTTTAGAAACCAGCTTGTCCACTAAAAAATTTTATTCGTTGTGTGTGTGTGTGTTTTTTTTATAGAACTGGGCTTGGTTATGGAGATTCAAACACTCCATGAGTTGACAAAGTCAGTGACGTTTAGAGTCCAGCTTGTCCAAGAAAAATCATTTTGTTGTTTATCTCTTACTGTTTCAAAAAACATCTTCAATCTAAGAAGGACTTGCCAAAAAATCTGTAGCAATAATATGAGGGCAATGTTGATCACAATAGTTACTTCATTGTTATTCGTGTACGTTGTTAAGTCTAGAAATCTTTTTTCTTCTTCAGACCCCAAACCCGAGAGACAAACACCGAGGTACATCTGAAAGAGTCATTGCATCTGTTCTTCTTTATTTGAATCTTCATCTCGAAAGCGAACAAAGGTCGATGCAGGATGAATCACATTATTTGATGTGTAGTTCTCAGTTGCATGTTTTCATTCTGTATGATAATGTTGAGAAAAGGATTCATAAACTCACTACTAATAACTTACTTGCTGCAGTATGATTAAGGTTCAGTCGACGAGATCGTCGCTCAGAAAATGAACCTTCGATGTGGCGGCCGTGCATCTGAGAAGGAAGTGCAGCTCAGCACGAAGGGTACCGAACGGGGCGAGGCTTCCAAGGAAGAAAGACGTGACGAGAGAAACTGTCGAAAAGCCATGAGGCGAATCCAGCAGCGCTTTTTCCCCCGGAGAAATAAACTCGAGGCCAGCGTCCGAGTAGGACCGCAGAGCGACGTGGCGGAAGCAAAGAGAACTCGGCCCTGTGCAGAGCACACTCTCAAAGCCTTCTTCCGGCCGTCCGCTTCAATCGACGGTGCAAATCTTCACGTCATCAGGTCATCAGGTCTTCACGTCATCAGGTCCCACCGCCACGTCTGCAGAATCGTGTGGTCGCCACACGCCCCATACTGGAAGGAAGGAAGCCCAGCAATAAACGCGAGCGCAGTCCCGAATGGCAAACGCTGTCGACAGTCCGCCGCTCTCGCGAATCGCGATTTGCTGCTCCTGCTCCTCTGCTCCTGCTGTCGATGGTAGTTGCTGATCTCGCAGACAACGTACCTCGATTCGCCACACGCTTCGCTCCCGCATCGAAGCTGCTGTTGCTGCTGTTGAAGGCATTCCCTCATTCGCTCCAGAGATCGCGAACGGTGTTTTACCTCCTTGGCTCCTTCGCTCGCTTCGACCGGATCCCGACCAGCCTCGATTCTACGTCGGACGACAATCCGCTGCAGACGTTGTCCCGCGGGGCTTTGGGTGCGGGGTGCGGGGTGCGGGGGGCGTTGGGCGCGCTTTTTCTCGGTGGGGCGCGGGGGAGACAATTCGGCGGCCGAGCGTTGAGCATTTGGGCCCCGATTCCTGTCGGCCTTGGCTCGCCTCGGCTGGGCTGCTTTCTGTCTCTCTCTCCCCGCGCCCGGGCTCGTGCGGTGGTTATGCGCATAACTGCCGAAGCCTTCTTCTTTGCACGCGGGCGGGAGGGCGGCCGGATGGATGGCGGACGCGCTCGGGGCATGTACGTGGCACTGAAACCTCAATCAATCTCGAGCACTTTTGGCCAGTGAGAAGCGGGGGTCGGCCATGTTTCGAACGAAGAGCCGAATTCCGAATTCCCTTTGACGAGCAAAACGGACTGCAATCGTCGGGAAATGGTGCACAACCATTGATCTCTGTCTTCGTGCCCCTTCGCCTTTAGCACTCCTTCATCATTGTGAACTGGGACAGTGAGAGCGCGATTCGTCAGGACGAGTTTCCGGGCACTTGCGAGTTCGTTTGAGCTCGTCCGAGAGCTCAGATAAGCTCGTCATCCATCTGAGCTCGTAGCAGCGAGATAGGCCTCGTTGCGCACGAGGGCTTGGAGTCTGAGACGAGTGTAGGTTGTGAGGTTGGCAAAAATGTGGAGGAAGAAGATTCACGAGACGGCCAGCAGGCCGATTGCCGGGGAGGAGGGGCATTGTGCAATTGGGGCTCCTGATCAGGAGGCCCAACCCAAAGTGATGAACATGGAGCTGCAGCTGATTAACGGCATTTCACCAGTTAACAGTCCCAGGCGTCCACCAAAACCACCACCTCCGTCGCAGCTCATTGAAAGGACCGGGGCTAATGGCATTATGATGCTCAGCAGCACCCCGACCATCCTCATCGACATCTCTAAAGCTGGGGTGGTACCTGGTAGCCATGAAGACCAAGAGTCTGAAGCTCAAGAACAACAACTACAGCAGATAACGAGCTCAAGTCCTCGAAATGCCCATTTTCCAAACATGTCCAATTCGGCCCACTTTTCTCCTCAGCCTTGGTCGTCAGATGCTCTTCACATCGATGAGCATTGGCACTACTCTCACAGGTCGCCTTGGCTTCGAGCTCTAGTCCTGGGAGCTAACGATGGACTCGTGTCCATCAGTTCTTTGATGCTGGGAGTTGGGGCTGTGAAAAACGACGTGAAAGCCATGATTATATCTGGACTAGCGGGCCTTGTGGCTGGAGCTGGTTCCATGGCTATTGGAGAATTTGTTTCAGTCTTCTCCCAACGGGACACTGAGCTGGTAATTCATCAACACGACTGTTCTCCTCGCTCGAGGTCTCACCTATGCACACAATTATTCTGAAGAATCCTATGTTTTATGACAATCATAATCTCACAACTCAACTAATTCTTCTTCTTGTGGCTCATGCTAGAATGGAACTTAACCTTTTATCCAAAGTCTAATTTCTAGTTATATTCTTCGATGAAGCATAATATGCTACTTACGCGGACTCGAATCTAAGTAACAGACAAATTTTTCCGACTTGTGTTTTTGTATGATCGTAGAGATGTAATATTATTATTCATTTAAGTATTACGATAGGGTTCTAGTTGATGACGCCAAATTTTATTTTGGCATCATCAATTTAATACGAACCATGGTTCGTATTAAAGCAATGAAACAGTCATTGCTTGCTTATGAAGAAAATTTACAAGCTTTCCTTCATAGGCGTAGCCATTAGGCACCTCATATGATAACGATATACCCTAAAAAGGTCGTCATATATTATTCCGAATATAGTTTACTCATGTTAAGGTTTATTGATATTGAGGTTCTTGTCGTGATCATAACGAGAATATTCGATAAATGATAAATTGCTCGTCCAACAATATTTTGGTAGCACGTAATTTGAGTATGCTGTTTATGTTTTTGATCCGGATCATAAATATGTTTCTTTGGAAAAATTGTTAAAACTAGCGTCAATCGAATGTGCTTTCTGAAATTTACGTAGAGGGCCATGCAGATCTCGGATTTAGCCTCCTTAACTAAAAATGGACAAATGTAGCCAGCATACAACGAAACCTAAACCACCGCCCTTCCAATAACAATACTGGAAATTTAATCTCGAGTGCAAAGCGTGTCAGTTTCTAATCATAAGAGAGCTAGAGTAGTAGGCGAGAATAGACCCAAGAAGATGAAGTACATACCGACGTGCGTGGATTGTGCACATCTCAAGTCGAGTAAGTTTTCTTCTCTAATTTACCTTCCTGAATCGTATAACGAACGCTCACTAAAAGATGTAGATCGCCGTCCATAGATTATGCATAGTATGCATGATCTACATCTTTTAGTGAGCGAATATTTTGCTGATGCATGTCGCGACCAGTGGGCTGAACTGTGAAAAAGTTTAGCAATAAAGCATCTTCATTTCTCATCGAAGAATACAGTGAAATTTCTCACCTGTAGATACACTTGCCCACAGAATCGGAGGAGCAGAACTGAACTGGGCACGTAACCTTCTCTATTTGCAGTCTCCTTGCTCTGAAGCAGGAAGTTCACTCTATATTACGATACTCCTCATTATAGGAGAAGTATTTGAAGGTCCAGCAACAAGTTCATCGGGATGTGTGGAACTTACCTTGCCGGTTGACTTTATAACAGGCAGACCTGGAGAAGGAAAGGCAGGAGCATGCCAAGGGGCCCGAGGCGCAAGCTCGGGAACTAGAGGAGCTCACTCAGATTTACGTCGGCCGAGGGTTGACTTACTTCCTCGCAAAGCAGGTACGTCAAGTGTATACCGAGTCCTGATCCGTGCGCTCCTTGGAGCAGAAAGCGTGATTCTCAGATAGTTGTGGAGCTTATGAAGAAAACATCGAGTCAAAACCAGATTCATTCTGAGAAACCTCGTGAAGAAAATGGCACATGAAGATGCGACTTCTCCACATCCATGATAACTGATATAATTCATCGCACAGGTAGCGGTAGAACTATCGAGGGTGGATGTTTTGAAGGCGCATGCTCGAGACGAACTAGGAATCGACGTTGATGCTCTTTCCAACCCTTTGCAGGTACCAATTCAGCATAAGCGGTATTTCACCAATTTAAGCTTGTGGTCCTAGTAAATTAGGTTATGTACGTCTTCAGAACGATGCATTTAATCGATTGCAACCTGGTTTCTCATTCTCTACATGCATCAAAAGCCGTCTGCAATCAGCTGTAAAGTTGAACTGCTGTAGACGGGCAGACTGTGTCTATGAGCGTGATTCGTCTTAGAAATTCAGTTCAGCCCAGCGCCTCTTCATTTGCTCGTATTCAAGCAGATAGCACTGACATCGATCAAGCAACTCGGCGATCTGAACCACTGACAACCTGCAAACATATTGGTAACTCGATACTCCATTGTCCTGATTCTGTACCACTTGTGGCTATGTCCAGGCCGCTCTGGCATCATCTCTGGCCTTCTCTCTTGGTGGTGGAGTGCCCTTGCTTGCAGGTACGCTGAACAAATCAAAATTAGATACGTGAATCACAAACGTCGGAACATTTTTTGACGCTCGGCACATACGAGCTCACTAATTTGTGCTGTTAAATTCGATCTGATCTACTGACATTCCTCGAGGATCTGATAAAATTGATGTTGTTGTGGATCACGATCATGAACTCGAGTCTGAAGGAGCCTTCATTCAAACGTACAAAATACGAATTGCAGTGGTGGTGGCGGTATCTTCATTTGCATTGGCGGCCTTTGGGGCGGCAGGAGCGCGACTAGGAGGAGCTCCAATGATCAGAGCTGCGCTTAGAGTGTTGATAGGAGGATGGTTGGCTATGCTGCTCACTTATGGAATCCTTAGACTGTTAGGCACCTATGGGTTCCAGTGAGCAACCAAGTAAATCAGAAAGGTTTTGCAGCATCCGAAACTGAACTACTTCACAACATCCCCACACTGAGGCTCTTGACCATGATATTATAATCAAAACGGCTTGAAATTAGTGCACTGCAGACTGTAATCTTTTTGACCTATACATAACGCCATCAAAAGATCGTCGATCAGCTCTGCTGTTTAAGCTACTAGTAACAAATATATTCTTTTCGTACAAGGGGTTGTACTCGTGCTTCATGTCTGAACATGGTGCCTTCGAGGCTAATAAAACTCTGTTGAAGCGCATCTCTGCGCTTGTGATGTAAAAGGGCACATTTTTTGCGCTGGGACTCGGGTCTCCTTCGTCTTGACTGTGACTGCTTGGTCAAGACTTGAAGATACTGAACTGTCGGTGTCAGCCTCTGAAATCGGAATGAACAAACAGTCTATTGCAGAAGACAGCCAAGGTTGTTTACAGTTCATGAATGAGGAATCTCATCGAAGGGCAGATTCGAGTACTGCTTACTGGACCTTGAAGTTCAAGCCACAGGCCAAATGTGTGGAATACGTACAGCAAGAAGAGATCAAGTGCAATAGGCGCCTTGGAAGTATATTATGTGAACAGACAACAATCCCTGCTTCTCTTGCACTCCTCCTTCGGGGACTAAAGCCGCCAATGGTGTCCTGGATATACGCAATTTCTTATTTTCTGCCTTCGATGGCCTTAGGAGAGATCTTAGGGATTCTTCTCGATTGTGCTAGCCGTATCAATGAGTGGTAGAGGCAGATTTTGTAACAATTCTTCAGCTTCTGGGTTCAAAGTCAAGCTTGGTGTCGCCAAACAGCTTCCCTCGTTCCGTCGATGTGCCCTTCTCCCTTGTCTGCCCACCTGTCCGTGCATGCATGCACGTACGTGAACTGCCCTTCTCCCTTGTCTGCCCACCTCTCCGTGCATGCATGCACGGACGTGAACTCCTTTTCCGGCTCGTCAATCATTCAGTCGAGCCTCTCCTTCCAACTTGATACCATTCAGTGCTGTCTACGTCGCACCGTCCATCCCACACTTTGTTTCATGGTTTCATGGAGGTCTTCAATGGAGACCTCCATCCCTAAAATCCATATAATCTATCAGGATTCCGGCGCTGTTGATTTCTAGTGTTTCTGATTTATTCATCCCCGTCATCTTGTACAGCAGCCACATCTCAATTGAATATATAACTGTATGTACCGAAATTACACGCATTGGAGAAAGTACACGATTAGAAAGACATCGCACTATTAATGTTCTTATAATCAGGAGATTCAAAGATAATGGCATATATAAATTACTTGCTCTGATAATTGGTGAAGTTAGACAATTCTTCTGTGTTTGTAACTGAGATCGTTGTTCTGTGGGAAACCTTCGATAGATATCCTGCAAACTTTTTTGTGTCCAGAAGAAATGGACCGTCTGAATCCACGTGTCATTACATGTGGATTTATTTATGATATATATATATATAATTCAATATTTTATGCATTCAAAGTAAATTTATTTTTAAATTAAATTTATTGAAGCTAATAATTTTATCTGTGATTATTTCATTTCTCTGATATTTAATTTTTATACATATATAGTATTTTTATTTATAGCTTATCAAATATAAATATTAATTTTTTATATAAAATATATATCAGTGTTAGAAATAATTTATAACGAGAACTATTATATATATATTATCCCAAATATTTAATATAATATTTAAATGGTGATTAAAACTTGATTTGATATCTCGAGTGTAAATTTGTACGAATAACATATAAGTATATTTATTAAATATTAATAATAAATGTTTTATTAACAATAAATTATTTTTATTTTTTGAAATCAACTATATAAAAAATTGTATTTAGCAAACGCAATACAATCATTTACATTCTGCCCGGTCGCATCCGAGAACCTGGTAAAGAAAATAGCGCGCTTGCTCGCAGCATGCGAAAACAGAAGAACAGCTTGATACAGTAGCACTCAGCTCGATACCTTAAGTCGTCCGCGCCGTAAACAATGCAGATACAGAAAGGTGTACGTGGTCAACAGAGTACTGCATCACACCTAAAAAACATACCCGAACCCGATCCATGCTCATGTATTTTGCGCTTGTGGTACCCATATCCAAAGAGACAAAACCGAAACCCCAAACGAACCTCCTCAAAAAATACTCCACGACCTGTTTGCTGAGTAACACTATTTCTAAATCACATTAAGAAAAGTCCAACCCGAAACCGAACCGGACCTTTCCGGTTCAAACCGGTCCAAACCCGACCCATACCCATCGGTTCGGGCGGGTTCGGTTGGGGTTTCGGGTATGGGTACCCGATGCAGTACTACACAAAATGTCATGGTGTGACGGACTTCTGTAGCGAATTGTACCAAAATCATCATCATCATAAGGCCAACATACAAATGCATGGATTGAATATAAAGCTCTGTCAAAGGGTAAAAAGAAGAAATAGAAAAATGTACCAAGAAAAGTTGAATCATATTTTGATAAGAATTGTATAATCCTTATATTCAAAATCAAAGCTTTGATAGTGGAGGATATTACATGGAAAATGTTTTTCAATCCAGAAGATGATGAGAAGTAGAATAGGGAATCAATCATTATGAAAAACGATGTAAAACTTTTCAAGATTCAGATTTATGAATACTATTGTGACAAAATCAAGAACATATCACAAGTCAATCTTTGCATTGATTATAAATCAAAAATTCTTTATTTCACCGGTAACTGTGATCTAGAAGATCAAATGTTATATTTGTGAAATAGAACTAGAAGTAACCAAGGAGTTAATCATGGTTAGCTTAGTTATGACTAAGTCTAGCTAGTTTTAACTAAGTTTATCAAGTGATAACTATGTTTAGTTGTAATATCTATACTTGGCGAAATAACTAGAGAAGTTTTAGAAGATTTGAATTAGCATTTCTATTTTGTCTTGTACAAAAGTCTAGATTCCAAGAGTAAAGACTTTTGACTTTTTTTTAGTTTTGATTGGTTTGACTAAGTAGTGGGTACTTCATTGATTAGACTAAGTCTATGTTGACCTAATGGCAAGTGGAGATCCTAGAAGTTGGAAAGGCATCAATCGCATGTCGCTTCCTCAATCTAGGGATTAGTATACATCTAGAAGGTTTGGGTCAATGGCATGTTGCCACATATTGGTATTAGTGAAACTTACTATGGTCTATCTTTGTAAAAGTAAATTAGTTAAGAATTATCATGGTAAATTTTTAAGTAGTTTATATAGAGAGGTATGGAAGAACCCCTCAAGCGAGTTTGGAGAGTTCAAATGCAGAGACTTGTTTCATATATGAAAGAGTAACGATTTTCAGTATCTTGGATGTCATGTAATTTTGTCTCTAACCATATTCAAATGTCAAACTTAGGATTACGGCTCGCGTGAGACTATAGAGTCACTGACGACTCGAAGAATGTAAGTTCTTCGAGTTGAGCCTGTTAGTGTTGGGAGTAGAGCGACTGCTCGTAAGCGTCAACCTGGAGTTTTTTGGAGTGAGTTGGGCTCAACTTGTGTACTTGTGACGAGTCTCGTGCTAGTGGGATAATTAAGACCGACGTGTTTTCCAGGGGAGAAAACGCGTTTATTTCACTCGAAGAACTCAGAAGTTGTTTGGTTGAAGTTGATCTCTTGGTGTCGTGCAGTAGGCCATACCAATGGAGAGAAGAAAATGATGTATCTTGAGCGTGAGTGATTTCTGTGGAGATCCTATCAGAGTCAGTGTTCATTTTTACAAAGTAATCAAAAAATCAATTTCTGTAATTGGAGAGAACTATTCTTTGATAGTTGAAATTGAAATTTGTGGTGTGTTTGGTTCCCTTCCTTCCTTGCTGTTAAAGTGGTAATTGAGGCAATTTTTCACTGTCGAATGGTGTTGCCCTGGTTGTGGACGCGGTGCATGCGGTCTTTTGAGGAGTGGCAAATCAGTCGAGCAGTAGCAAGCAGCATTGATCAAGAAATCTACTGTGGATTCTGTCGAGCACAATTGGGGTCCGCTGGACTGTAGATTGTGTAGGAGGTGGTGTTTAATGGATGACAATTGCTAATGTCTTGCCCTCTTTTTGTCCTGAGAAAATTAGGAAATTTATTTTATCTGTGGTACTTTTGTAATTGTGGAAGCGAAAGCGCTAGAGGCCTGCGGTTGAAGGAAGATTCAAATCACTAGAGGGTAAAGATGATGGGTCTGTTGCCGCTTGGTCTTGTATTACGGAGAGACTCGAGTGAATTTATCTCGATCTCTGGGGTAGCAGTTCTTCTGCAATGGCGAAGAAAGAGGAGTTTGTGGTGTGCTTCAAGCACGCGTAGGGTACAGTACCAAACATTGCTATGGAAAGGAGACTGCAAGGCCTCGAGAATGGCCTTGAGTGACAGCGTATATTGCGAGCAAACTATACGCATGCGTTGCCTATTTTTGAAGGGAAAAAGCTCGTTATGGCCTCACCATATCAAGCATTTGGGCTCGATCGTGATTTTGTGTTTGTTACATAACGCACGTTAGTGCATCACTTTGTGCATTATCAAAAGTAGTTCTTCTTTTCGCTGTGAGCCTCCTCTTTTTGATCCAAGATGGAAGAATGTGTGGGCAGGCTAACCGGGCAGCTTCCTGATTGGTTGAGGATGAAACTCAGTTTCCCGATGGAGCATCGAAGTCATTGAACTAAATCGCTCCGCTTTCCGGCGGAGCGATCTAGCGATGGACTATAAGAACATTTGGGCATCCATCCGCACTCAACTACGAGGGATACTTATTCTCACAACCTGGTCGACGTCATACTCACTACCATACTTCCTCACAGTGGAAATGTTCAACCGATGCTTGAAACTGTGTCGGTCATCTTAAAAATGTTTCCCAACATAAGATATAGTAATAACCCATTGCATGGATGAAGTTTATTTTCTGAACATGATAAATCTCAATATTTGTGCCAATGAACATGTAAGCTCCAATATCCGTAAAGGTTTTAACAAAATGCCTTTTGTTTTCCATTATGGACCAACCCTTGCTATAAAATGGCAAAGGAATCGAGAGAGAAGAGAATTTCAGGCTTAACATACAAGCAGTGAATAAAGTTTTCAACGCATAACGGAATTGTTTGGCATGGTCGGCTATCGAGCTCTAAGTTATTTTGTTTTAGTCACTTGCGTGTTGTAGGATATCGAGTAAAAAATCTCCTCGATTCGATGATTCTGCACTACCTTTGTGATCGAAGTCAGCTTGAAGGGTAGAATCATACAAACTCATTCAGAAGGCAATTATAGTTCTTTGTGGA